CTTCTCTGCATTCCTTAGAAAGTCACTCTGACAGTTGCATGCTGTATCTACATGGGAAGTAAATGTGTTTACTTTTCTCAGAATCATTACTTCTAATAACACATATGCTAATGTGGAAGCGGCTTTATTTAACAGACGACACTTTACAATATATTTTAATGGGTAACACCTGAGGCAGTTAGTACAGTAATTAGCATTTTTTGTTTACTGCTATTAAAGGAGCTATAGTTTTGCTTAAGGTGATAGGCCTTGATCTTCTCTGCTTTGGTTTTTGCCCTGCCCAGAATTAAAAGTATATTCAAGTGGCAAACAAAAAGCAAAACAATGTTTCATTGTGTTTTTGTTCAATTTTTTTAGATCTCAGCTCTTACCTCTTTTTTCTTTTCTATATGTTTCTTTTTTCCCAGATCTTTTTAAAAACTTTATCTCAGGAGAAAAGCTTTTAAACCAACTGTTCCTTTTATAGCCAGGTGGATGAGTGGTTAGGGTTAGGGTCAGTGATTTCCTTCAACAGAACAGCTTGTGTTTCTTCAGCTTTTTAACAAGTTCTAACGATGTAAAAATGTTGCCACTTTTAATATATATTTCATGTTACACATTCAAAATTTATTTACCGTTCAAGACCAAACAAAAGTCCAGTATAGGTAGTCCTCAGATTACAATGCCAATTGGTCTGGAATTTCCATTGCTAAGAAATGCTATTGTATCAAAACAAGAGAATATTTGTAAGTCGGGGTTGAATTATGGGGTTCTCTGAGTTTGGTGTGAGGGTTTTTTTGGGGGGGGGTTTGCAGACATTTCATTACCAAACTAGGTAACATCATCAGTGCTACCATTGAAGTTGAAGTCTTTCTGTAGAATATTGTGCTCTGCGGTAGTGGGCAACTAGACATGTTGACCAGCCGTTCATGCTAGCACTGACGATATTACCTAATTTGTTAATGGAATGTCTGCAGGAAAACATCAAGGATCCCAAAATGCTGTTGTAAAGCAGGACATGTGACTACATTGCTTAGTAACAGCAATCCTGACAGTCCTAGTTGCTGCTGTAACCTCAAGGACTGTGTAAGTCATTACATAGGAACAGGTGGGAGTGTGGGATGGTGCTGGGGGCATAGGCTGCAGAATGCCATGGGTTAAGGGCTGTTGTGGGAAGGCATTATGGAATGCAGGTGGGTCAGCAGGTGCCACAAGCAAGTGATATGGAACACAGGCTGGCAGGATGTGTTATGGAGTATAAGATGCCTGGTATCTTGTACTCTTAACAAGGTTCCTCCTCCTGCTTTCCAATTGCAAAATTATTTTTTGAATCCTGGGAGTGAAACCAGAGTCCATTCAGGAAAAAGTTCATCAAATAGCTGTTAGGAACTTTTTTTTTTTGCTTTAATTTATATGCCCCCCTTCTCCGGAGACTCAGGGCGGCTTACAACGCATTAAGTAATAGCCTTCATACTTTTTGCATATTTATAGTCAGCTTATTGCCCCCACAATCTGGGTCCTCCCCACAATCTGGGTCCCCACAATCTGGGTCCTGAAAACTTAACAGTTTTCAGTTGAAGTGTGGAAATTATAGAAATATCCAGAAATATCCAATCCACAATTTAAGAGGAATTAGATTATTGTTGCTATTAACATTTCTTTTGGGTGAAAATGGAGAGACAAATAGGCGGAAGAGACAATTGTCTTTATTCATGACAAGAGATGGAGATAAAGTTGGAGAAAGTAAAGATACCGCAGTTAGTGTCGCTGTGTTTGGTAGCTGTTTTAGGTTTTTGTTTCTGTCCAGAGACCAGAAGGGTGTTAATCACAAATTAATTATCTACCTGGTCCAGACAATATGAACAGCTAAAGTTAAGATGAGTGCTTGACTTGGCTAAAGTGCTCCTCAACACTGTCGACCTAAGTTCTAGGTTTATTAGGCTTGTCAAAAAATTAGCCCTTGGAATTATGCCAAGATGATGAGTATAAGCAAATTCCAACACTACAAAGGAACATTTAAAAAGCTTTGGTTCCGGTATATGGATCCCAACAATAACAAGGCTCCAGAGTCCAGAACATGTTTTTCAGCAAGTTATTGCCAAATTGGGAGCCATTCATTTGCTTTAGATGGATGGGGTAATTTTGCCAAGAACTAGACAAAAGTTAAAATGCTACTACTGTATACTGTCATAGCTAGAAAACATAACGGTGACTACCTATTTGTCCAGTAGATAGTCTTCTATTCAGTTGCTTTGGGATAATCATAAGCAGACAATCAGTAGTAGTTTATAACTCTCAGAGTAATTATTATATTCTTAATGACATAAGAGTTACTGAACAAACTTTGCAAAGCCACATGGAAGCTGTATTTGCACTAAGTTTGATTAATTGTAACCTAGGTTAGGCTTTTTGTGGCTTAGGGTATTCATACAAAACGAGTTAATTTTTGGCTGAGTGTCATGGATAGATGATATGGGCAACTAAATCATAACTACATTAGTCATGGATAAGATTGCACAAACACTGCAATAGAAAAGCTGCTTTGATAAGAATCAGTAAGCATGCTCCAGTTGTCACCATTCTGGTTTGACCCTTTGCTCCAGTTGTACCTTGAGAAAGTCCTACAATATATGGAGGTGATCTCAACAGAATCTTACATAACTTACATTGCCTGTCTTTCTAATATACCCAATTAACTTATCTATATGCCAATCAACTTATGAATATGTATAGAGTTGGGAGAAAAATAATACTTGATAAACTGGTCTTGATAAAACTCTTCAGCCAAGAGTTATCACTTGTGGCATTTGTTTTGCATTAGTGTTAACACCCAGAGATCATCACCCCATGTTAGTAGTGTTGGGCTTGCTCCAGTGCAGCATATGAGCTCCACATGTTCAGACATGACACAGTATTGCAGATTTAGCGTATATATCAAAGGTATCTGCTGTGATGTCATTTTACCAGTGTTCTAAGTGCTTTTATGAAGCAATAACCTTTTATTCTGGAAGGGCTCCTTTTATTTATTATTGGTATTTCTATCCTGCTAAACCCCAAAATGGCTCTGAGACATGTTCATTAATATAACTGAAGAGTCAGACAACACAAACCCAATGTGGTTTCCTCCTAAGGTTCTCCATTTCTCTCTCTCTCTCTTGCAGAAGGAAAGTTTTTGGATTGGGTTCCTACAAATACAAAATGTCTGAAGCCCACCATTCTTCTTGCTAATTTCTTCATTCCTTGCCCTTTACAGAGGCAACTGCTCTATTCAGCACTACTAAAGATGCTCTCAACAATTTTGGTTTTCTTGGCAGTTAGAATACAGCTTCCTACAGGAACAGTAGACATTTTAAGTCCAACATCACAATTTCAAAATGTACAGTAAAAAGGTGGGCTTAAAAACATAAATCCAAAAGTGAAAAATATTGCAGTCAAGATCTGTTCTGGTTTTCTTGTAGCAGATAATTCCTTTGAAACATTGTTTCCACTTGAAAATATTGAAATAATTGTTCTCTTTATAATAAAAAAATCAACTTAGAAGATTTACCCACATTATCACTGAATATATCTAGATTTCTCATACCATAAACCTATCATAAGATTATCTGAATCTCAAAGAATCTCATCTTAAAGATCTTTGACATTCAGGTATTCTTATGATAGTAATCTTTCATATATTCAAATATTCAAATATTGAAGAATGACATTGTTCTTAGAATAAAGTCATGAACAAGCTAGATTTTTAAAAAATACCATGCTTTGACGTTAACTTCTATTTTATAAAATATCTAAATACTTTTTAGTGAAAGGGTGTTTAAATATTTACACATGCACTACAGTAAATTAGAATACCTGCCTAAATTCTGTTACTTATCCATAGAAACTTTTACAGTTTTGAATCTTTGCTTCTGTTTCATTTAATGGATGTACATATACTAGCTCTTTTTCTTTCTATCTTAATCATCTTCCTCTGCAGGTTGTCAATTAAAGTATGGACAAGCTAATTCTGAAGTCTTTAAAGCAGTTCCCAATGAGGCTATTGACATCTTCCTCCACTTCTGTTGGGGGAGCGTCTATGTCCCATCTTTGGGATTATGATGGAATAACTGATGGGCACGAGACAAAGGACTGAACCATAAGTACTTTGGGGGGGGAGGGAGGGATGACAATACAAATAAATATGCCAAATAGAAAAACTAAACATTCTAGAATGTAGACAAAAAAAATAACCTATTTATCACTTCCTATACTTATATTTACTTTTTTCACTCTTTCCCCCATTTACTACCACTGCTCCAATTACCTTGGACTTTCTCCCCTTCCCTCCCTGTAAAGATTTACTCAGTAGTGATTGTCAAAAAACAGATTTATAATTTGTGCTGCCTTATCTTACCAGCTATTTTGGAATACAGTAGTGGCTCTTTATTCCCCAACCCCAAGTTTCACTAGTCCAAAACTATCGATCCTGACCTAAGTGCATGGATTCCTGTTACTTTTATCACAGAATATGGCATAGGATTCAGAAGTACTGTGTAAATCCAAGCAATTGTTGACTCATGCAATGTTCTAGTTAACAGACCATGATTAATTATATTGGAATCAAATTAACATGAGCAGTAAGTGGATTAACTGCATCTTATTTTGGGAGGATAGGGTATCAATTGGAGACAAAATCAGTGGTGAAATCCAAATTTTTTTACTACCGGTTCTGTGGGCACGGCTTGGTGGGTGTGGTGTGGCTTAATGGGTGTAGCTTGGGGGGCATGTCAGGGGAAGGATACTGCAAAATCTCCATTCCCACCCTATTCTGGGGCCAGCCAGAGGGGATATTTGCCAGTTCTTTGAACTACTCAAAATTTCCGCTACTGGTTCTCCAGAACCTGTCAGAACCTGCTGGATTTCACCCTTGGACAAGATTGCAGCATTCCCCAGCTAGGAATTTCGAATGTTGTGATGAATCACAAGCAAAGATAAATGTTATTTTGTATGGAAAACTACTGAGTAAATTATATACACTCCCGTGCAAGGCACCAGTTTATTCCTTGGCAGGGTATTTGTTAGCAACATAGGAATAATAAATACAACTCATCTTTTTCCACCTAGCAGTGGTGGATTTCAATAAGCGAATTATCCAGGAATTGAGAGCATGCTTTTATAGTACCACTTAGGAATTTTTGGAATGCTTTTTAATACTGGAAGAAATGTCCTCCCATCGGAAAACCGGAATCCGTAAGATCAACCGCCAGCAAATGTCAATCAAACTTCGGCAAGCCAAACATTTCTGGCTTGAAATCATTCATTGATTGTAGGACATGGGTGGCTTCTTTCGTCAGTTCTTTTGGGAAACCGCCGTGGGGGACCATGACTACTTGCATGCCGGCAGCCACGGCCGCTTTGACCCCGTTCAGGGCATCTTCAAAGACGAGGCATTTTGCCGGAGGTACCGGCGGTTCGAACCTCTTGGCGGCCACCAAAAATATATCGGGCTCCGGCTTGCCGTTTTTAACCTCGGGGTCATCTCCCATCACAACGTGATGGAACAAACCGAAAAGGGGCTTTAGTTTCCCCGTTTTCATCTCGAACGCATCGCGAAAGGAGCTGGTGGCGACGGCGATGGGGATCTTGTGCCCGTGCAGATGGCGGACCAGCTTTTCCACGCCGGGCATCAAGGCAGAGTTGGGATATTGTTCTCGTTTCTTTTGGGAGGTTTCGCGGAGGATTTCTTCGACGGTTAAGGGCAGGTCGAAGAGCTTTTGGAAAATCACCAGCCCGTTCATTTCTTGTATCCCCATGATCTGGGATCTTTCCTTCCAAGTGTACGTCTTCCCATAGCGGCTGCAGAGTTCTGTCATGATGGCGTTGTACATATCTTCGGTGTTTATGAGGGTGCCATCCAGGTCAAAGATGACATGAGTGACAGGCTGTAGCGGCTTGCCTCCGTCGGAGGAAGCAGCCATCGCGGCCCCCGCCCTCGGCGACCCGCTCTCCTGCTAAACCAAACCGCCAAGGAAAACCGCGGGAAACGAACTGCGCCTGCGCAATGCCGTCCCCCATCTTCGCAATGGACGCCTCGTGCCTTTGAAGCGTTCGAGGTTCGGCCACCTGTTTCGAGCCTTTGCGAAGATTGTCGTTGGGTGTGTATAGCGCGCGCGTCTCCTTCTGCAAAGGCGCTCTAATACAGAGGTCTTCAAACTTGGCAGCTTTAAGACTTGTGGACTTCAACTCCCAGAATTCTCCAGCCAGCATAGCTTGTGGAGATGAAGTCCACAAGTCTTAAAGCTGCCAAGTTTGAAGACCTCTGCTCTAATAATTCTTAGGAAAGAAGAGCCGGCTGTAGTATCAAACTCTGCGGTCCCAGAAATTGGTTAAGATAAAGGAGACAGGCATTAATTAAATCCGTTTGCTTGGAAGGGCAGATGTAAAACAAGCTACAAGCCCGAGCTGTAGATCGAATGGAGTCATGCCCCTTTCCCGAATTGGTCTGAATAGATCCAGTGCTATATCCCAGACTTCCTCAATGTGATGCAGTAGAAATTGCAATTCCCATGCTTGGCTTGGGCAGTGGAAGGCAGGTTTCAACATACTTGAAAGGCACTGGGTTGGAAAGACTGGTAGAGGTAATCCTCGGCTTAAAACAGTTCGTTTAATTTAATTTAATTAATTTAATTAATTCAATTTATATGCCGACCCTCTCCGAAGACTCAGGGCGGCTCCCAATACATTAAAAAAAAATCATTATAAAAAACATTTAAAAATTAAAAACATTAAAAACATTAAAAACTCATTCACGCTTACTGAATTTCAGTCACGTTTACTGACTGAAGTTAAAACAGCACTGAAAAAACAAAAAAAAAAACCCTAAAGCATGCTGACTCTGATTCTGGGTTTTATTATTTATTATTTATTAGTTAATTTGGTTTAAAATGGGATTTTGTTGTACATGTTTTTAACTTGTGTTTGCCGCCCTGAGTCCTTCTGGAGAAGGGTGGCATATAAATACATGAAATAAATAAATAAATAAATAAATAAATAAAGTGACTTATGACCATTTTTCACGCTTATGACTGTAAGGAAATAGATATACTGAAATACTAGAATTAGTAGAAACTACTTGTTTCCTACAACATATATGTATGATATATGATGTCTTTGTATACCTGCATGCTGTAAATATTTGTTTCCTGTGACACTATATTATGCCCTTTGTAGTTATAACACAAACATGCCACATTGACTAACTTCCTGGACTGTTATTGGGATCTGTTGTGAAGTATCTGGCATTTGTCAAACTATATGTTCCACTTTTTGATCAGAGCCTTATCTCTCCCCCTCCTACCTAAGAACTATCTCATCTTTGATCTTTTGAGTTCCCACCACTCCAGGGAGCTAAATACCCAAGTGTGAACACAAAGAGGATGATCAGGAAGAGATAAAGCTAATGAAGAGGCACTACCCTGTTGGGGGGGATACACAAACAAAATTCCAGGTAATACACAAATCAAAGATGCCAGAATTGGAGGTTTATGACTTTCCTAAACAATATAAAAGGAGTTCACATTCCCTCTCTTGTTTGTAGTTGTTACCTGCATGTATCTTGTATGTGTTTGGAACAGCTAACCATTTAAGCTTGATCAAGATTAAATGCTATTTTACTCAAGCCTCTGTTTAAGTTTCTTGTTTGGCATTTATGAGCTTAAACATATTATTATTGGACCTTACATGACCATTGCAGCATCTCCAAGGTTATGTGGTTTTCATTCAAATGCTTGACAACTGGTTCATATTTATGATGGTTACAGTGTCCTGAAGTCATGTGATCACCTTTTGTGACCTGACAAGCAAAGTCAATGGGGAAGCCAGATTCACTTAACAACCTTGTTACTAAATTAACAACTGCAGTGATTCACTTAACAAATGTGGCAAGTAAAGTCGTAAAATGGGGCAAACCTCACTGAACAAATTTTTCATTTAACAACATAAAGTTTGGGCCCAATTGTGGTCATAAATCAAGGACCACCTGTATTGTGTTTTATTCAAAATTGAGGTCTCGCTATATAGACTCATTTTATTTATTAAGATTTTTATCTATTACTTCATGAGTAATTCAAGGTGGCAAACATATATGATACTCCTCCCTCCTATTTTCCTCACAACAATCATCGTGTGCGGGTGACTGGCAGAAATTTTGGGCTCAATTGTGGGCGTACGTTGGGGAGTACTGCAGTTACAGATTTCCTCCTGCCGTGTAGACTAGGCTTTTGGTAATTACATGGCCACATTTACCAGGGAGGATACCTGAAAGAAGTGGTTTATCTGACAACATGCAATTGCCTTAGAGCAGGGCTCCCCAAACTTGGCAGCTTTAAGACTTGTGGACTTCAACTCCCAGAATTCTCCAGCCAGCTATGGTTGCTGGAGAATTCTGGGAGTTGAAGTCCACAAGTCTTAAAGCTGCCAAGTTTGAAGACCTGCCTTAGAGTGAAGGCCGAGATCCATTAACCTCAACATGCACCCATATTTCCAGTTAAATCTTTTTTGTAGGTATTATAAACCTCAAAACTATAGAGCTTGTTTGAAACTTCTTGTTTCAAACAAGCTCTTCTTGTGATAAGATTCATGGAATGAGACCCTGTTTTAGCATCTCAGCCCTATGACTAAATTGAGAAAATAGCCTCCCTTTATCAGACTAAACAAGTACATGCTGCTTTAGTTCAAAATGCCGTAATAGTGGTATACCATACCACATACAGATAGTCCTCGAGTAACGATCACAATCGAGCCCAAAATTTCTGTTGTTAAGTGAGACATTTATTAAATGAGTTTTGCCCCATTATATGACCTTTCTTGCTTCAGTAGTTAAGTGAATCACTGCAGTTGATGTTAGTAACCTGGTTGTTAAGCAAATCTGGCTTCTCCATTGACTTCGCTTGTCAGAAGGTTGCAAAAGGGGATCACATGATCCTAGGACACAGCAACGGTCATAAATATGAACCAGTTGCCAAGCATCTTAATTTTGATCACAATGATCATGGGGATGCTGCAAAGGTGGTGTGAAAAATGGTCATAAGTCACTTTTTTTCAGTGGTCACTAAGCAAACTGTTTTAAATCGAGGACTACCTGTACTCCCATTTTACTTACACTCAAGAAAGTGTGCGTGGATATTTATACATTAAATCAGTGCTTCTCAACCTTGGCAAGGTATACACATTAACACTCAGAATTCTGGGCTTATTTTAAAGATGCCAAGGTTGAGAAGCACTGTATAGTATTAAATGTTAAGGGAAGCTTGTCTAACAGCTTGTAAAAAACAAACGCATTTAAAACAAAATTATTAGCTATTTACTCAAGTCATATACGGCAGGGAAACCCAAATAAGTTAGACCGCAGGTGTATTGTGCGCCTACTTAAGAATAGCAATCGGAGGTAAGAATTGCTAGCATACAAACGCTACGCTCCCTCCGGAAGTTAATTGAAGGCTTGTCGCGGCGATTCCCGTGCGAATTCCCAGAAGGCAATGGGTGGGGGGGGGAATGGGCGGAGCTACGCTGCCGCTTTTGTGATTGGCCGCCATTGTCGATTTGAACGGGGCGCGGGGCCGAGCCTCTTCTTCTTTCAGCTGCCGGTCGTGGCAGCTTTAGAGAGCGAGAGGCCGGTTGCGAGGAAAGACTCTGGCGGCGGGTAGGCTGAGTTGGGGGGGACGCGGGGGGGGGGGGCGGGTGTTCTTCGCACTGGGTGCTAGGGAGGAGGAGTCAGAAATCGTGCGGGAGATGCTCGGAACAGCGACCGTGTACTTGTACTGTATTTATCCCTCATATTTTCCCAATAGTAGCCTTGGACCACAACTCCCATACAGTATTTCCTTTCCGGAGTAATGCTAACGTTGTATTATGCCTACTCTTCTGAAGGAAACTGCAGACCAGTAATTCGAAATAGCAATATCTGCCGCATCTTTTTTTTTTTGAAAAAGTGAAACGCTTTGGCCGGTCATGGGTTTGTTACACGCTCTAAATGCAAATTTTG